AAAAAAAAAAAAAAAAGAACATTTTTTTATCTAATTGAACAGGTACCAACAGATGCAGTTCTTTGGAATGGATATTAAGCATCAAGTGTATTGTAAACTTGTTCACCAAATACCATATAGGCAAACTCATTAATGAAATTCTACTAAATAACCAGGTGAATAAGGCAAACATGTGCAACAACAAATCTGAATTTAGGGGAATGTATCTGCTAATGCAACTGAGCCAACCAAACAGTTCGACTAGAAAAATTAACAATACAGTAAAGAAAATAAATATAATGAAACAAAATCAAGAATAACAAAAATATATAGAGCAAGCTGTATCGCTTACTCCTTGCACACCCAATCTCGTCTCTTCATTTCAACATGTTTTGAGCTTATATTGACTGGTAAATCATTAGGCTGCTTCTTTCTTTGAGAAGTTACAGTAGCAGGTTTTGGAAGATCTGGATCAGGCTGTGTATCACCCAGCTCGATCAACTGAGACAGCAATTTCTTCACAGATGATTCAAGAAGCTCTCTACCTGGACTTGAAGGCTTATTTTCACCAGAAATAACAACAGGGTCCAATGCATAGAGCAATAAGATACGAACTACATCTACTGTACGTGGCGCCGCAGCTTCAGAGTCGTTTAGAATGACATATGCTCTGTCACATGATTCGCGCAGATTGCAAGAACTGCAAACCTGTTGTTAATCAAATAAAATGATAAATCAGCAGGTCATACAAAATGAGGTCATTTTCTTCACTAATTAGTAATTGTATCATACATTTCACAAGCTACTTACATCTGCTTCATCAAGGTCTAGATGAGCTCTCAGCCTCTTCGCTGAATTAACTGCCTTTCTGAAAAGATTCGGACAACCCTTCTCAACGATTATTTGTATGTCTTGGCTGGATAACGACCTGTAACATCAAACAAAGAATCATATGAATTTCCAAACCTCACTAAGCCTGTCATCTCGACATATCATTCATAACCTTCCCCTCGCAGAACTAAACTATCAAACTCAACACTAGCTTATACATCATAATACTTAGTTTCAAAAATTTATAAACTTCCCCTCAACTTTTGGGAGTGACTATAAATATCTCCGGGTCCTCTTCTGAACAATGATTATATGAAAATCTGAAAATATAATATTGTTTCAAATATCCCAGCAGATATTACCTAAACATTCAAACAAACAAACAAACACACACCCAACACACACATAGAGAAAGAACAAGTTGAGAGAGCAAATACTTGAAAATGTCATAACGATCACGCCCAAAGCTCAAGCATGCATCCTTAACCATCTTCATATCCTTATAATCGACAAGCCCTTCACTATCACTGCCGCCACCGCCTCCATGATCGGAAACGGCGCCAATTTGAGTCAGGTAGCCCTTGGCCTTCAATCGGTCGACAAAATTAACCCATTCGGGCCACGGGTGAGCAGGAACCGCAGGAGTAGGAGCATCACTGAGTGTAGAAGAACCGGAATCGAGCGCCAACGCTGAGGAACTGTACCGCTCGAACCGCAGGGAAGGGATGAGGCAGCTTCTGCTGTAATTCACGGATGGAGCTTGACGACAGCTGCGAGAGCTGCGGAGAAATGAGGGTCCGAGGAGAGTGAACAGCCTTGAAGTTGCCATTTTCACTTCTTTTTTCTCCTGCTCGGCTTAAACCATGAGAGGCTTTGGGGAGGTTTTGGGGGTTGTACCCGAAGAGTGTGTAAGCTGTACAGTGACCCTAAGCTTTTCAATCTAAGCCGTTAATTAGCTAGGTAGATACAGTGGTCATTTTTATTTTTATCTATACATATATTAAAGGATCTTATTTACTAAATATAGTAATTAGAAAATTCAAACTTAATTAATGAATTTTTAATTTTTTTCAAGTATTTAATTAATGCATTTAATATTTTGGGTATGCAAATCAAATTTAGCATTTAATTAGTTCCTAAAATATTAGGTATGAAATATTAATTTAGGAATATCTATTTAGTTCCTAAAATATTGGTATGCAACACGTAAAAAAATATTTTTTAATTTTTTAAATATAAAATATTGCAATACTCTAAAACTATTTCAGTTATTTTTTATTTTATTTTACATATAAAATCTAATCAAGATTTAATGCATCCTACAAAATTGGATTTAGTTCAATTCTCCATACAATTGGTTGTAACTTTTTCAGTTGTACTTTTTTTATTTATTTATTTTACACTTTTAAATTAATGAAGCTCTCCGAAAATACAAATCAAATGATTTGTGAAAGTTTTTTTTTTACAATTTTAAATCTATATACCTAACTTAAAAAACTCGCATAAATATGGAGGAGTTTAAGAAAATTTCATAACCCAGCTTACAAAATTCCATCTCCACGAGTCAAAAAAATCACATCCTCATCTATCGTAACAACTTTAAAGATAAATAAATAAAAGTCTGATTCCATTATCTATTTAGATTTTTTTTAAATCTAAATTTCACTTGTCTAATTACTAATATTTTAGATACTTTTAAATATTATTTGTATAAATTTTTTTACACATTTGCTCTCTCTATATATATACATATATGGAAGTTAAATGAAAATTTTTTAAATATGTTTTTCTTACGGGTAGTTTAGAAAAATTTAGGTAGTTTCAAACATTATTTGTGAATAATATAGAATATTTTAGATGCTTTTATAGATGTTATAAAATATTTTAAGTATTTTTAATATTTATATATCACATTTAGAAAGAATATTTTGCAAAAAAAAAAAAAAAACAATAAATACACATTGTAAATGTTAATAGAAATAGTCTTCAGTGTTCATCTTTGATTTTATCAAAACAAATCCCATAAAAACGGTGAAGTCAAAATTTGTACGTAAAGTCTATCTATACTTAAAAAAAAAAAGCAGATTCAAAATTCTTTATCTAATTCCTTCTTATTATCTAATTGTATAGAAATCTGTTATGATTTTGTTCAATCCTCTAATTGTATTTGTATTACATCCATAAAACCAGTTTAACAAAAAAAAATCCCATAACATCCAATAAGTAAAAAAAAAGTACGTAAAATCTTTACTAAAATAAAAATGAAAAAAGTACGTAAAATCTTTATTAAAATAAAAATGGTTTTATTTATTATCTAATTTATTATCTAATTGTATGGAAATCTGTTCTGATTTTCTGGTAAACTACAAATTGTGCACCCGTGTTCAGGAGCTACTTAACAGGCAAGCTCTGTGGAAATAACTCATTTAGTGTTTATGTCCCGTGCATACAGTATGTATTTGTATTACACATACTAGAAAATTGTGCACCCCGTGCATCGCATGGACTCTGTACTAATAAATGACCTTAAAATTGTGCACCCCGTGCATCACCCGTGTTCACATTTTGGCCTATTACAGGTCACGTACTATATATATCCCGTACATTTCTTTTTATTCATTTATATAATATAAGACTGGATAAATGACCTTAATTTTATGCACCCCGTGCATCGCACGGGATCTGTACTAGTTTTTTAATAATAGAGCAAACCAAAAGCGCAAAACAAAACCGTTATCTTTGGTTCAATTGCAATATAAGCGTTATTTTGACAATTAACATAGTGGCTTTTTTGTTTTTGTAAATAAAGACTAGTAGGTAAACGATCTCGGATTAGCTTAGATCAGCACAGTTCGACCTTGTTTGCCTTCCTGACCGATAAAAGGCATGTTTAACTTGTGTAAGCGAATGTCATGGATGTTTCATGGCGAAAAGCCTCCGACAATCAAGTCATACTGTATATGAAGACGATGAACAATAAACACAACGCAGTGTAAGTGTAGAGTGTATAGATAGTGCGTAGAGAATGTAATGTATGAGTGGGCATACCTCACTCCCTTATAGGAATGTGTTACTTTCTTGCCTAAGACTGTCCGGATGGGCTGCCCAGATTGCCCCAACTTCCCATCCGTATTGTTTAGTCTGCCCAATTATGTTAGGTCACGTGGTCCTATCTATGTGTAGTTCTTATCTTACTAATATTCTTTTTTATTTATTAGTCTGCCTTTATTAGACGGTCTAATCGCACGACCGACTCAAATCACCTCGAGCTGGAGTGCTGCATGTGCTAAACTTGAATGTTCTGATTTCTTAATCGATCCATTGACCAGTCATACCTTCAGGTCAAGTTTCAACCAGGACATCCAAGCACGACAAACATCAAGTGCTTGGTGTTTGCCTTTGGAACTAGCAACTATTATCCCCAACTCCCTAGCCTCTTTATCAATATCTAAAACTAGTTTGAATTCTGAATTTTGAGTATTTTTATTTCTTTGAATTAGTATTTGTTATGCAAACTCCAACCAATCTAAAGTTAGAGTATTGGAATATACGTGCAAAATAATCCGACTAGCCTTCCTTGAGATATGACCCGGAAGACTGATTCTTTCCAATTGACACCGATAAAAAGAACTACAACACTGCCCATCAACTTAGATTGTCTTGTCCCGTCCGGTTTTAAAATATATATATATATATATATATCAATCATGATTAATGTTATTTATATATTGAATTTGTAATACAATCCTAATATTGTTTTTCTATGTATCGCTCGGGACACATACTAATATATAAAAAGTGAGGTGTTGGATCTTAGAACTTGAGATGGGTGTACTCAAGCTTCCAAAAATGCAATTTAGATTTGAATTTTTGGACTCGATTGATGAGGTGACTTAGAAGAACACGGTTAAATTTGATTAAACTTTAATTTTGTATAATTTGGATTCTCACATGATTTTGTGAGTGATTTTTTAATGTATAGAATTTGCAATTGTTGGAAATTGTTCGTTTTTTTTTTCAAAATGATAGAATATATATAAATATATATATATATATATATATATATACATATATATATATA